TAAATGTTCTACATCCAACAACTCCATTCAATTCCTTTGATTGGCACTCACAAAGTGTCGAGAGTTACTCTTCCGGCTATGCATTGATCCTTTATGTTTGGCCATCATCTATCTACGGATGAAGTTCAACTTTGACTTCAAGAGTTTGAAGACTTACGTCCAAAATCTACCTGTGAACATTGGGTCTAGGTCGCGTACGATCGTTTAGGTATCCCCAAATGTTGAACCATGTACTTTACAAAGAGCCAAGCCCCCTCTGAAGTTGTGAAATTCAATGGTGTTGTCTTTAGTCTCATCAAAATTATGTTATTTGCAAATAGCATACATCACGGTATCTCATCCTGTAGATACTTAGTTAATTTATACGTAACCAAAACAAAGAGATATGAGCTCAATGTTGACCCATGATATAGGCCTACTATCACTAAAAACTTACTTATCTCTCTACTAGTTGTCCTCATACTAGCTACCACTCCTTCGTACATATCTCTCACTATGTCAATATATCATCTAAAGTCTCATTTGTTTTCCAACACCCACCAACTTAATTCTATGGGTACCATATCATATGTTTTTTCTAAATCAATAAAGACCATGTTGAAGTCTTTTCTCTTCTCCTTAAACTTTTCAATTAATTACATGAGAAAAATAGCCTCAACTGTTGACCTCCCTAACATAAAATCAAATTAATTTCTGCTATACTAATTTCATCTTAGTAGTTGTTTAATCACTCTCTCCATCAGCTTCATAGTATGGCTCATAAGTTTGATCCCTCGTTAGTTCATACAATTCTGTATATCACTTTTATTTTTATAAATAGATACAAAAATGCTTTTTCTCCATATATCTGTATTTTCATTGTTTTCACAATCTTAGAATAGCCTCGTTAACTAGAGTATGGTAATCTCTTCTATGCACTACCAAACTTTTATTAGGATACCATCTAATGCGAAGGCCCTTTCTATTTTCATCGTTCTTAAAGCTTCTTTTACTTCAGATATCTTAATTTTACGAATATATCTTTGACTTCATACCTTATTTGCATCAAAGGTACCTCATAATGTTGTGCTCCTATAGTGATTATCATGTAACAATTTTTTAAACAAAATTTCCACCTAACAATTTAATATCATATTATCATCATCATCATCCGAGTCATATCCTAACTATTTGGGGTCGGCAATACGAATCATGTTGCTCTATCAAGGGTCATTCTGTCAATCGAACCATAAATAACCATATCTCACTTACATCCATAACTTTTGGGCTTTCTCGTTGCTTTTTAAAGCCATCCACATGAACCATATCGCCCCTCTTAACCAGTGTAGTATCTGGCCTATGCTGCACATACTAGCCTACTTAAGTGTATTTTCTCTCACCTTACCGCCTGTTAGAGCTACCCCTTATATGTATTCATATTGAATTCTATCATTTCTTGTCTTGTCATTCATCCATCTCAATATCTTCATCTCAACTACATTCATCTTATGTATATGTTGCTTCTTGACCACTCAAAATTGCATCCTATAAATTATGGTTGGTCTTTTACCGTCTAAGATCACATAAAAGAAAAAAAATGGATGAGTTGAGAGCAAGAGTGAGTATTTCGACTTTATTTTTTCATACATCAGATTCGGCTAAAATTTTAGTGTTCTATACTTCCTATCCCAATGCATTTGTAAAAAATACTTAACATATTTTGAAAATAATTAGATAGGGTTTTGCTCTGTTAGGGTTTCCCAGCGGCTGCCAAGAGATCCACTGCCAACCAAGCCATCCAAGAAGTAGCCAGCTTCACCTCCGCCTAGCAACTTAAGCATCCACCGCCACCACAGCCGAGTAGCAGTTGCAACCTCCACCACCACCCTGTTGTAGCTGCCACCGCCACTACCCTACAAGAGGAAGCATCCCCACCTTGTTGCAGCTGTTGTTTCTCCCGATCTTACCTCCGTTGAGCTAGATCTATTCTCTTGTGAGCCAGATCTAAACTTCGGTAAGTCGGATGTTGCTTTTGTTTCTCTTTCTTTCTTTTGTTTTCCCCTCTTTCTCTCTCTCACTCTCTCTCTTTTTCTTCCTCTCTCTCTCTTCCCAGATGTTCAGTTTTCCAAGCCTTTGCCCTAAAGCCTTCCTCATCTGCTATTTTACTTTTAAAATAGTTTGGTATATGCCCTTCTTAACCTGTGTTGTATCGGGCCTATGTTGCATATGCCAGCCTAATTAAGTTTATTTTCTCTCACCTTACCTCATGTTAGAGCCACTTCTAAGTTCGCTTATATGTATTCATTTTGAATTCTATCATTGCTTGTCTTGACATTCATCCATCTCAACATCTTCATCTCAACTACATTCATCTTATGTATATGTTGCTGCTTGACCATTCAAAATTCCATCCCATAACGTATGATTGGTCTTTTACTATCTAAGATCACATGAAAGAAAAAAAATGGACGAGTTGAGAGCATGAGTGAGTATTTCGACTTTCTTTTTTTTATTTATTGGCTTCGGCTAAAATTTTAGTGTTCTATACTTCCTATCTGAATGCATTTGTAAAAAATACTTAACATGTTTTAAAAAGAATTAGATAGGGTTTTGCTCTATTAGGGTTTCCCAGCCGCTACTAAGAGATCCACTGCCAACCAAGCCATCCAAGAAGTAGCCACCTTCACCTCCACCTTGCAACTTCAGCATCCACCGCCACCACAGTCGAGGAGCAGTTGTAGCCTCCACCACCGCCCTGTTGTATCTGCCGCCACCACTACCTTGTGAGAGAAAGCATCCCCACCCTGTTGTAGCTGTTGTTTCTCCCGATCTTACCTCCTTTGAGCTAGATCTATTCTCTTGTGAGCCCGATCTAAACTTCGACCAGTCGGAGGTTGCTTTTGTTTCTCTTTCTTTCTTTTGTTTTCCCCTATGTCTCTCTCTCTCTCTCTCTCTCTCTCTCTCTCTCTCTCTCCCTGAGGTTCGATTTTCCAAGCCTTTGGCCTAAGACTTCCTCATCTGCTATTTCACTTTTAAAATAGTAGATGACTTCTTGGTAGCTGACCCCCCCCCCCCCGCCCCCCCTTCTCTCCTTCTTCTCATGTCGTATCTTCTTCTCATCTCTTTCTATCTCCAACCTTTCTTTCTTTCCATCTCTTCCATTTCCAACATTCGTCCTTGAACCTCCTACTCTCCTGCACTCTTTCTCTTTTCCTCAACTTTCACCTCTTCTAGGTAGGCCAATGCTTAAGATGGGGTTTTCCCCTTTTGGGGGATCTGAGACTCTGTCGCCCCCTGTTTAGGTCTTATATGGTTAACGTAAAAGATAGGATATGCCTTCTTGAGAACCACCTTGTCCCCTGTCATGGAGGATTTTGCTTTTTATTGTTAGCGTCCAAGACAGGATTGATCTTGCTGAAAGCCAATTTACCTATCATGGAGGAATTGTTTTTCTTCTCAGAAGTAAGATCTCCATTTATGGCCTATTCAGTTTCCTAAATGAGTTGTCGGCGACCTCTTTCTCCATCTTTGGTCTTGGTTCTTCGTCTGCCCCCCTCTGTTTCCTCTTCTCTTTCTCTTCCTTTGAGCTATATCTTTTATAACCATCTTTTGGCCGCTGGTTTAGCTGTGTATTTTTAGATGCCGTCATTTTGGCGTTGTCTGGGTGGCACTCCAACCCCGGCATGTGGGCTTCATGTAGAAGGGATGATGGTTTGATATGTTTTCGGGTTGGTGAGGCTTGGGCTCAGGGACTGGTGCAGAATAGGCTTCCTTGCTTCAAGTAGACATCGAGTTTTCTATGCTTCTGGATGGAGTAGGGCCTTCGATTTTTAATGATTGTTCATGTCTTAGGAGTTTCAGATGATTTTGATTTGAAGTTGGGTTTCTCACCCTATTTTTTCTCTTTGTAATTGTAATATTGGAGTTTATCTCCTTATGTTAATGAATACTTACTTAACTTGTTTTTTAAAAAAATTGTTTTAAAAAGAATTATAGAAGTATTGTCATGAATAGTTGAGAGCATGAACTAAAATTTTGGGCATCTATAGAAAGGGTATGGTTTCTATAAGGTCACAACCTTAAACAATCCAATTAAGGCGCACCTCCAAATTTTATCATAACATATAATTTTTATGTAATTTTTTTTTAAGGTTATCTCAAAATTAAATTCCAAAAATGGTTAAAATCAAGTTGATCTATAGACATATGAAAATCTTGAAAATGGACGGTCTAGATAATATGTTACAAGATACATTATTTCTAGGACTCAAAATCTTTTTTTTTCATACTCATACATCTCAATGTCCATATGATCAATTAGAGGGTTTCACAACTATAAACAAACTTTTCTCATCGATTTTTTAGGTGCATATATGATTCTTGCAACTTTATATAAACTTTTTCTATATAAAAATATAAAAAAAAATTAAAATTACATTGTAGTTCACCTAAAATCATATCAATCTCTACATTTTTTTAATCTTGATTTATACATCTTGAAATGTCCCATTAAAAAAAAGTCTTGGACCCCTCATGGATGATTAAATTTCTCAACTTACGATATCGTTTTAGTTGTACAGTATGATCCAACGCGAGGACACTATCGTCTCTCATCCTTTATTAGCACAGAAAGGAGAGATTCTCGAATTTAGCATTATAAAAAGGTCCATTAATGGACAAGATTAGAGAGACCTTACTTTTCATGGTAATGCACGAAAATTTGCCATTTGTTACTGGCCCGCTATTTGAGTCCCTCAGATGTGGCATCACACTGTAATCTACGCCTAAAGATATGCCACTTGTCCTTGCGTTTCAGACAATTTCTAGTGTCGAGGTCACGCGCACATTTATTTTTGAAATTTGATGAAAATAAAAAAGTGTTATTTTCACATTTCTCGGGAAAGATGGGTTCCTTTCTGTCATATCATAAAAAGACACAGGTATTTTACGTCAATCTTCTCTGCACACCAACGCAAATGTACTGCAAATGTCTAAGCCCCGTGTACAGGGTATAAAGCTCGTTTTTTCACTCGGGACCATGGCTTTTTAATCTCTTCCAGTTATTTTTTGAGGTAATTTTCTTTTTATATTTCCCCTTATTTTTCTGTGCCGTAGAACTTTTTATTTTCCCAGTTTTGAATAAAGGGAAATGGATTTGAAGCTCTGCAATAATCGCATTTCTCTGCTGAATTTTTAGGTATTTTTCTCCATTTTTCCCCATTTTTTTTGCGCCTTTGAACGTTTGATATGGAATCGGCTCGGATTGATTGAAATCTCTGTGAAATATGATTTCTCTGGTTCTTGCATGGCTTTTGACCTAATTTGTAGGCGTCTTGGTGCATTTGAATAAGAAATCTTTGATCTTTAATTTCAAAGAAGAAGCTTCTGGTTCAGTGTTAGTTTTGCCCTGAACTAAGGGTGTTGTGCTTTTTTTTTCCTGATACTTTCTTTTTTTGGTTTTTATGTTTTCATGTTTAAGAGGAAGCTTCTGGTTCACCGTTAGTTTTGCCCTTTTTTAATGAAAAAAAAAATCTCTTTTCAGTCTCATCCTTTTTCTTCATAGGAATCAACTCTCAGCGCTGTATTGTTGGTTTTTATAGGCTTTCATTTTGATCCTCTTTCCTGTACTCGAGTTCTTGAACCAGTTAGTCTTATATCAGGAATACACTGTTCAGAACTGAAAGTCTTTATTTTTAGCTATTATTCAGATGTTTTAAAGCGTCATTGAGGAGTACAGCTAGCTAGGTTATCTGTTATTTTTCTTTGCTCCAAGGGTTTCCATCCTTCTTCCATGGCATCCGATGATGAATCCCCTGCTTTAGATGTAAAGCCTCTGCGGACCTTGGTCCCGGTTTTTCTATCCCATGTAAGACCTTTATCTTCAGTTCCAGGCCCAAATAATCCTCCTTTATCTGAACCTCTTACCTCTTCCAACCCTCGTCCTGCAAAAATACCACAATTTCCGCGCTCTTTGGCCAAGAATTCATCAAAAGAGCCCACTGGTTCAGTAAAAGAGGCCTCCAAATCAAGAAAACCACCCACTGAACCCAAAAATGAACCCTCCTTCCTTTCTCCTGAACCCCTAAATCAATTCAAACCACCTGCTGATACCATCAATGAAGCGTCTTTTGCGTCTCCTGAACCTCAAATCGATTTCAAAACCCCCCCAAGTAATTTAAGAGAACCCATATTTGTTGCTCCCATATCCCAAAAAGCACCTGAAGATAACTCAGTTATAGAAAAGCAGGCCTCTGCTAGAGCAAAGAGGAGCAAGAACATATCTTTTCGTCCATTTGATGCTGAAGAGAGACCCATGAACGTTGATAGGGATGCAGTTGATAGGGTCCTTACAATTTACCATGCTTATAGGCGAAGGCTTATGCAACAAAATGAACCATCAAAGGAATCATCAAGTTCTGGTGGTAGGATACGTGCAGACCTGAAAGCTGGGACTGTCATGGCCAGCAAAGAATTCCGAACCAATGTTGGGAAGAGGGTCGGCTCTGTTCCAGGAGTCAATATAGGGGATATTTTCTATTTCAGACTCGAATTAGGTCTAGTGGGGTTGCATGCCCCTTCAATGGCTGGTATTGACTACATGACCATGAAGTTTGGGCAACAAGAGGATCCCATTGCTATTAGTATCGTCTCTTCTGGTAGTTACGATGATGATGATGCAGAAGACAATGGGGATACCCTGATTTACAGTGGCCATGGTGGTGTTGACTCAAGGGGAAAACAGGTCGGTGATCAGAAGCTTGAGAGGGGTAATCTTGCTTTGGAGAAGAGCCTTCAACATGGGAATGAAATCCGGGTAATTAAGGGTGTGAAAGATGTGTCTAGCCCTTCTGGCAAGGCCTATATCTATGATGGGTTATACAGAGTCCAACAAGGATGGACAGAGAGAGGCACTATGGGCTTCAAAGTTTTCAAGTATAAATTGTTAAGGTGTCCGGGCCAGCCTAATTTGGGGAGCTCACTGTGGAAGCAATTGGAGCAATGGAGAGAAAATCCATTAACAAGGCCTGGTGCTACAACATCAGATGTATCTTCAATGGCCGAGAAAGTACCAGTTTGTTTGGTGAATGATGTTGATGATGAGAAAAGGCCGCGTTTTTTGTATATCACAGGAGTGAGGAATTCAAAGCCCTCGACGAATCCTTCTCCGGGTTGTATGTGCGTAAATGCATGCAGTCCCAATGACATAAACTGTTGTTGCTTGGGGCTAAATGGAGGCCAGTTCCCTTATAATCCAAATGGAATTTTATTTAGCCCTAAACCAATGATATATGAATGTGCTCCTACTTGTTTGTGCTCAAACATTTGTAGGAACAGGGCATCACAGAATGGGCTAAAACTTCACTTTGAGGTTTTTAAGACTAGAAACAAAGGCTGGGGCCTTCGTTCTTGGAACCCTATTCCATCAGGGACATTCATTTGTGAATATGCCGGCCTAATTATGCACAATGGTGAGGAAGAAGAAGAAACAGATGATGAGTATTTATTTTTATCAAACCGAGAGCGTCAAAACCCATTTAATTGGGCTAATATATATACATTATTGGGAGAGCAGAGATTTGCTGAACCTGATCCGAATTTTGAACAGCTACCAATTGTGATTAGTGCAAAGCGTATGGGTAATGTGTCTCGATTCATGAATCACAGTTGCTCCCCCAATGTTTCATGGTATCCTGTCTTATTCGACCATCGTGATAGTCAGTGTCCTCATATCATGTTTTTTGCAATCAAGAATATTCCTCCTATGACGGAATTGACATATGATTATGGACTTTCTAAATCTCAGTCAAAGAGGAAACAGTGCTTATGTGGAGCTTTAAAATGCAGAGGGTTCTTTGGCTAGTGCTTTTAGTTTCATGCCTTTGAACAAGTAGCAAGAGTTTAAGGAATTTTGCTAGCAAGGTAAGGTATCTCTCTTTTTGAATCTCATGTATCTTATTTCTTATTGGTATCTCAATTGAATTTTATTTGACGAATTGTTTGTGCACTAAATATTCTTTTTCCTGAACCTTGTGATTTGACTTATGCTTCTCCTTCACAGATTGATCTTTTAGAACTAGGATATGAGAACTCCATTTCCATGAATTTTATCACAATGAATATCACATGATACACTCTCTTTCACCCTCAGATTTTAAGCTCAAATTACTAGCTATCCCTATGAAAAAAGTGTACACACACATACATGTACACTCACTGACCTCTTGGATGCTTCTACTATACCAGGAATATGATGGAAAAATGGCATGCTTCTAGATCTATAAAAAGATAAACCATGATCTATTGAAAGTTGCTTTACTCCTTAGCCTCCCCAGATTATCTAGTAGTGTTAGAAACTGTATTTCTGTATATTTGGGCCGTAGGCCCCCATGGAAGATTATTTGAGAATATTGCTAATAACTCTTTCTTTATTGGTTAATCAAGAATATACAAGACTCCGTATAAATATACGGCCTTTAACAGTCAAAGATAAATACCAATGGTTATGGATAGACACCTCCTAATCTTATCAAGAGATATGTATTCATACAGATGCATATCCATATTGATATGTATCAATATGATACATATCCTAATCTTATCAAGAGATATGTATCCATATATATGCATATCCATACTGATATGTATCCATAATGATGTATATCAATACTAACACGAGATATCCATAACCTAATACTCCCCCTCAAACTCAAGATGCTTTGACACAAAGCACCTGGAGTTTGAACAATACTAATTTGCCAAAAACGCGTGGTGACCTTCAGATTGCTTAGATTGCTTGAACAACAAGCACAAATAACTCAGATTGCTTGAACAACAAGCACAAATTGTAGTGGTGGATCAACAAGCCTCAGGAATATATAGCCTTAGGAACAACAAACGGCCTCAGGAACAGACTTGAGCCTTCAGAAAAAACTCTAGATTCAGCAGTTCGTAGAGAACTCAAGCAACAACAAACCAACAAGCCTTCAAAACATACAGGATCGAGTAACGAAAAAAATCGATCAACAGACAGGATCGAATAACGGAAAATACGATCATCAAACAGAATTGAGTAACAGAAAACATAATCATCAAACAGGATCGAGTAACGGAAAACTCGATCATCAGAAAAGATTAGAGTGGCTGATGAGAGTTCGGACATATCACCCTGAGATCAAGATTCAGAGGCAAAACAAAGAGAGGGGCGATTTTATAGATAGAGCAGATTGATCGTTTTCATAGGCCATTTTTCAAAGGTGAATTTTGCAAATTAGCGATCCTCAGAAACTGATGCCTCGAACAGAGAAGTCTCGCATAACACCAACTCAATAGGCCTCCGGAACATATATGATCGAGTAACGAAAAAAAACTCGATTATCACACTGGATGGAGTAGTAGGAAACTCCATCATCCAATAGGATTGAGTAACGAAAAACTCAATCATTAAACATGATCAAGTAACAGAAACTTGATCATCAACCAGGATCAAGAAATTCGATCATCAAACTTGAAGCACTTGGAAGAGCCAACAAAAATAAAAAAGAGAATCTGAAACCTTTGAAACCCCACCATCGTTAGCAAGCATAGATCCAAGCAACTTGCTCCCACGAGGATTGAGAGCTTCCCGCAATAGTGCTCCTCAGATTGCCCCAAATGGCTAATGCATGGCTTATCTTGAGCAGATCACAGCAACTCTATCTATACGGCAATCTCTAGGGCATTGTAACTCTCTCTCTCTACTCCGATCTCAGCAGGAGGAAATCACACAGCAGGCAGCAGTGTGAATTTTGGTCCTCGGTCTCGTTTCAAGCCTGAGTACCAAGCTTTGCAATGTGAAGAATGGAAATCCTACAAACTCGTACGCTCTCTAATTTATTAATAAAAAAACAACATAAAAAAAAAAAAAACTTTTAACCCTCTCTCTACAATCCCAAAAAAACGTCCTTTTACTTTTACTCTCTCTCTACAACTCCAGGCCCTAAGCTATAACCCGTAGCAGCATGACGAGACTCACATCTCTCTCTAAAAGACCACCTGATGCCCTTCTATTTTTGGACAGATGTGTTTCAAGCGTGCAAACGGCATGGACTAGAGGAAACGGTATCGACTAGAGGAAGATGCTTTGGAATATGGGGGTAGATTTTCCAAAGACACATCCATGAAATGGTAAAGGGTACTGAAATTTTCGGAATGAATATAAGGTAGCAACTTGATAACATCAAAGAGGGTGCCGCAGCTGTTAGGCAGAGAGTCGCAATCAGATTGAGGGCTTCACCGATCAGAGAACTGGAAACAAAGGCTCGATGCTTGAGTCGTCAACCTCGTTCTGATACCATGTTAGAAACTGTATTTTTGTATATTTGGGCCTTAGGCCCCCATGGAAGATTATTTCAGAATACTGCAGAGAACTCTCTCTTTATTGATTAATCGAGACTCCATATAAATATACGACCTTTAACAGTTAAAGATCAATACCAATGGTTATGGATAAACACCAGTCAATCTTATCAAAAGATATGTATTCATACAAATGCATATCCATAATGATATGTATCCATAATGATGTATATCAATAGTAACACGAGATATCCATATCCTAACAAGTAGTACTTTCTGAACATTGTACTGTATAAAAAAGCACACTTGCGAACACAAGCACAGGAACCAGAAAAGGGGATTGTCCTTTATTCCAATAATTTTGCTATTTGCAATTTTTGCTTCCATTTTCTTCTATTCCCATCCGAAACATAGGTGCGAATAAGAGAAGCAAGAAGTCAGTTGTACATTTTGTCACATGTTTTTGGGTAGGACTACCAACAATATAGATGCAATAGCAATTTCCATTAGAAGATTTTGGGTAGTGGTTGGTCAATTAGAACCAGTGTACCGGGACTCAGCCGAGTTACCTTGTCTCGCCCTATGGGCGACACGAGTTTCGCCTGAGTGTGCTGGATACCCATGTGTGCGTAGTTTATAGAAATGAATAAAAATATTCAAATGGCTTCTTGGGTAGCACGCACGCTTATTTGCCATCGTGGTCGGGGATCGGAAACAGGCCCCCTCCTTTTCCAAAACAACACTGCCCTCATTTTTTAAGCCTAGGAGACTGAGCCCTTTTTTTAGGGAGTCAAAAAACAAGAGTTCAAAAAAGAGCTGTGAGGTATCTCATTTTATGTTTGATGTAAGAAATGAGAAGGTTAGATAATATATTATTCTTTTTTTTGTTTTTAGCTTCATTTTTCTAATTCAAGCGATATAGTCTTCACCGGGGTAACTTGCCTTTGCCTCGGCCAAGGACCAAGTAGCTTGGCTGAGTTGTTTTTCTGTATACTGATTAGAACCGGTAAGCGCTATTGCCATTCTATTACACGTTCAACTTGCCAATATGTCGCACCTGAAAAAGGTGTCAAAGAAAATTTAGCAAATGTGGTGAAGTAGAAGAATATGTAAATCTAGTTTATTTGATATGATCCACTCATTAGAAACTTTTCATCAATTACTTTCATGACTATGTTGCACGACACATATAGGGTGCCTGATAAATTTTCTGTATGATAATTTCATTTGAGCAAGCGACCAGCAGAAACATTGAGAAATTGCAGGGAAGGTTCAGATCTTTACATGAAGCAGCACCATAAATCGGGTCTGATGTTTTGTGTGAATGATAGTTTGATTGTGCAATTCATTGTACAAATCAGCAAGTATTGTGGAAAAGCTTTTGGTAGCTTTCCATAATCAAATAATCTGCTTAGAAGTATGAAAAAGGGGTAGAAAGGAATTTGCCCTCAGAAAACTGATTTGCGCGTGAGGTGATATGCCAATACCTCCAGCACTTTGTTGGACACCTCTGGAAATTGTTATCTAGACATATGAATACTTCCAATTAAGTCTCAGACATTAATATGACTGTTACTGATTGAACTCCTTTTTGGGATGATTGACTTGCGTTTTTCTGTGACCCACACTCTTCATTTTGACTTTCTTACTTTTTACATGTTCAGGTCATAGAGTTTATTCCTACATGTGTATATATGCATTGAGATTGGGAAAAAGTTTATATAGAGCGAGGCTCTAAACAATCAAATTAGAGCCCACCTCAAAAATTTCACTAGACGAGGTTATTTTGATGCCCAAATATCTTCAAACTGATAATCTCGACATCAAGATGCATGGACATGAGAAAACTGATAATCTCGACATCAAGATGCATGGACATGAGGAAAAGAATGGATTTCAAGTTTTGGAAATAGTGCATCTTGTAACGCATTTTTGGGCTGTCAATTTTTAAGATTTTCAAGCTTTCATAAATATGCTCGATTTACACTATTTTTTAAGCTTTAAATTTTGTAATTAACGATGAAAATATATTTTAAGGCTATCACATAGATTTCCAGTATTGAAACCACATTTCTCGATACTATTTGAAGGTGCGCTTTACTTTGATTGTTTAGAGCTTCGGCTCTATGTAAACCGCACCCGTTAGATCTATATGCATATGTCGATGTTTGCTTAACTTCTGAGTTTGTCGCGAGTGACCTCCTGAATATTAATAAAAGCACTTTCAGCTGTGTGGCATTTTGCATATTCTGAATGTTCCCACTCAAGCCCAAGCACATTTATGCACATATATGTATACATAAGCTTATTAATTTTCAATTGAAAATTAATACCACCACCTCCAAATAATTAAATGCATTTTAATTTGGTTTTGCTGATTCTGATAATCCTTCGGTGCTTCTTAGTAACACAGTTTACTCTCACTTTTCAGGTTTTATCCAAATACACTCTTAAAAGTTCCTGAAGCCATATACGTTGATGCGGCATTGCAAAATCAATTCCCATCAGAGCATGCAATTCTGCATCCCATTGTACATGTATGAAGTAGGAATGCATGATGTATATGGATGTATGTGTGGAATACATAATGTATGTATGTGTGCTTACATCATTGATTTCATGTAATGAGTTATTTTGACTATCCGTTTAAGCATAGTGTTTTTACTGATTTCTCTATCAGTTGCTTCTGTTTATGGGCATAACATCTCTTGGACCATGTATATGATGGGCGCCAAAAAATTCAAAAACTCAAATTCAATCCGATTCTTCTGCTTAATGTTAAAAAAAGGTAGATGCGGCTTAGGTGGGAGCCCAGATACCAGGGTGGCTTTAAGGGAAAAGGGTTGCGGTGGGGGTTATATGTTGTTTTAGTGGCTTTAAGGGAAAAGGGTTGCGGTGGGGGTTATATGTTGTTTTATGTGAGTGTATTTTGGGAATGTGTGTGTGCATGCATACATGTGAATTCGTATGTGCATGTGTTAGGTCTCGCATGAAATTCTTTAAAATCGTTTTTTTTTTTTTCTTTTGGATCTGTATTTGTGAGATAGAGGTCTCGAACATTTGGAGGATATCTCAAGAGAGAGAGACCTGGTATCGAACATTTGGTGGCCTTCTTCTTCTTTTTCTTTTTATGTGTAAAGAGGGAGCATGTGACCACGTGTATCTTTATGTCTCTGAGAGAGAGAGACAGGCCAAGCATTGAACACTTGTAGTCCTTCTCATATGTAGATGGAGTACATGGACCCGAGAGAAAGATGGACCTAAGAGAGATAGAGAGAGCAGGGCAAGATCAAGCTTTATTTTTGTTTGGGTTGATTTGAATTTTTATTTTTTTTTGTTATTGATGGAGTGGGATTAGGTCGCGTGCCGTTACTGCCTAGGCGCCCACCTGCCTAAACCGCACCGCCTAGGCGGTTTGTCTGCCCACCTTAGGTATGCCTGCTTAAACCCCACCGCCTAGGTGGTTTGTCCGCCATACTGCATAGGCGGCTGGGCGGCTGACTTTATTTTCATTGACCAAGCAAAAAATGGTGTTGGGGCAGGTGGCCTGATATGGCTGTGTCCATATGAGCCGTGGCCAAGCTACGAGTGACTCTTGTTGGGGTCTTGGTTGAGCCACAATTACCTGGTCAACCACAACTGGTTCCCATTTTAGACGTGGTAAAGTAAAATACTGGCGCTATCTGAGTCCTAAATGAGCCTGAGCCACACACCTAGGTTTGATCCAAGTTGGGATCAAGTGGGTCTAAGTGTGGTCTAATCCGTATGAGCCCTATCTGAACCTTTATTGAGCCAGAACTGTCTTTTCTAAGACCTGCCCAAACCACGACTGGATCCATCGGAGTCCTTTACAAGCCACGACTAAGCCTAACCAAGTTGGGATGAGGTGGTCCGATGTGGCTTCCATATGAGCCCTGGCTGAGCCAAAAGCGAATGTGTCTGGGTCCTTATCAGGCCCCAACTGGCTCTTATCTAAGACATGGCCAAGCCATAACCGGTTCTATTTGTGTCCTAAATCGTAATGAAACCATATTGGTATTGAACAAGTGGAGACCAGGTAGATCTGATCCTAGCCAAGTCCATATGAGACATGGAGTTTTGTACGTCTTTTTGGATCTGGTTGAGACTAACCGCATCTTGTCCAGTGTTCGAAAAACCAACCGGTCGGAACCGGAACCGGAACCGGCCGATTAGCTCGCTACCGGTGCGATGCTGATTTCGGTAGGTCTAGGTTTGAGTGTACTAGTAAAAAAACATATTGTAAAAACATATTGATATAAAGAGGTCAGAATCATCTAAATGTAAAATTCAACGGCTTTGGATATATAACAAAATTAGTGCTATCCAGACACTCCATATTGCATGTTGTTGTTACTTGGGCACGTGTCAACATCTTGGATACATGACCGACACATTATATGTACGGTCGCCTAAGTAACCTTCTAGACATGGTAGTCGATACTTTCACATTATTTTTAGATGTGTTAGACACGTAGTGTCCTTTTTGTTCTATATTGAAAGTGCATTTGTGGGATTTGAACTCATGATCATTGAGATGACATTAAAAATAATAACCACCATGCCATCCATTTAAAGTATGAAAAATGTTTATAGAAGGTTGATACTTTAAAATGTAGAATTAAGATGCGCTCTAAAATCCTTTGAAAAAAAGTTGTTTTGAGATGGGAAAGATATTGAATTGATCATCTCAACATGGAGATCTTAGGTATGGAGAAAAGAGATTTCAAGTTCTAAAATAACACATCTTACAACATATTATCTGGACAGTCCATTTTTAAGACTTTTATGTGTTTATAGATTTGCTTGATTGGAACTATCTTTGAAAGTTATAAAATTTTATAATTAAAAATAAAAATAGATTCTCGCGTTAAGAATTTTCGATGCTAAGATTGCATCTCGTGACAAAGTCAGGAGATGCACCTCACTTTGATTGTTTATGATTGCAACATTATGCAAACCGCACACTCAAAGTATAATTATCCGCACCCTCAAAGAACATGTAATTATGTAATATATGTTATTTAGGGTTATTCGATAATACATTATATTAATGGTGGACCTATAACTTTGTACTTCAAAAAAATTTATATTAAATGCCTTTAGAAATATAATAAAATATATTAGTAATGACTCACTTATAAATTTTGAGAAGGGAATTTTTATAAATTTAATTTTCATTTAATGTCTAACAATTATTTAAAAAGTCAAAAAAATCTTTTTAAATTTGAAATTGAGTTTTAAAGATATTTTAAAAATATTGAAATGGCTTTTTTTAAGTAGATGAAATAAAGTCAAAGGAACCTTTTTTAATTTGAAATTAAGTTTTTGAGGGATTGTAAAAAGATCAAAATGCCATTTCTAAAGTACATAAAATAAAGTCAAAAGAATCTTTTTGAATTTAAAATTGAGTTTTGAAAGGATTTAACAAAAATCAAAATGCCCTTTTTAAAGTACATGAAATAATTACAAAGTACTAAATTTTAGGTTCACTATTAGTGTAGTATATTCTAGAATAACCCTTATTTATGTATTTATTAATTAGGGACAATATCTTCATACACTCTTCTTATAAGTTTCATTTATCAATAGACCCGAGGTTTCAAAATATATCTAGTTACATAAAGATCTTATGTATTATATCTTCTAACCCCCCTAAACCAATTTTACTCCTTTTGATCCTATTTTTTGCCCAAACAAAACAAAAAAGGACCTCATTTTTTATTCATTTTTAAACCCCCTCTTCTCTCTCTTTTTTTAAAACCTTTCTCTCTCCTCCCGTAATTCTTCAAACACCTCTCTCTCTCTCTCCTGTGTTTCCCTCAACCTCTCTCTGTTTCAAACCGCCCTCTCCCCCCATTTTTAATCTCTTATTTGAGTTCGGCATTGTGGCTACTAAAAAATGGAGAATAAAAATATTGTATTTGTTACATGTTAAACTCATTACCTTCTTTCTAATTAATATTTGAAACAACCGTGAAACGGATTGTGATTATTCTCTTTCTCAATCTAAAACAATGGTACTTCCTTAGAATCTTGAGCTTTCTCTTTCTCACTCTAACCTCTTAACATCTCTTTCATTTAAAATGTAAAGAGTTGGAGGCGTTGCATAGATCAGAGGAGATTTATTGGAGGCAAAGGTCCAGATCTAAATGATTACAAGAAGAAGATCTTAATACAAAATTTTTTCATGCAATTGCCAGTGCGAGAAGAAGACAAAATGACCTCTCTAGATTATCGATTTCTGGTATTGACTTCGAAAATGATGTTGCAATAGAGGATACAGTGATTACTCATTTCAAAAAGGCTTTCACAAAAGAAATAAATGTTACTTCTTTGAATAGAGTCCCTTTCAAAATTATGTTAATGGAGATGAAAAATCAGTTGGAAAGGGAGGTTACTAATGAGGACTTACAGAAGGCAGGGTTTGCATTATCTAGAGACAAGACGCCAGGACTTGATGGTTTCCCTCTAGCTTTTTTTTCATAAATTTTGGAATGTAGTTAAAAGAGAATTATTGGAGTTTGTGAAAAGCTCTATGATTAGGAGGCATATTTTTAAAGGGGTGAATTTCACTTTCCTGGCTCATATTCCTAAGAAGTCAATGATTTCTAGTATGACGACCTAAAATTCGTAGAATTAAAACATAATATTAATAGTGTTGATAGATATAAACAGTAAATAAACAAATAAAATAAAATAAAATACTTACAATAAATAAAGATTCAGAACGATAGTTCATTATGCATTATAGGGACCATTATTTTCACTTATACGATTTTAACAACTTTTTTCTAAGTTTGTGCCTGACCATTTTGTTAGTATGGACCCTTGGTCCACCAATTTTTTGTATGAATTTTTGTGTAAAGTTGGGTGGCGTGGCAGCCCACTTACATCATGTTAAAACACTTGAGGGTTCAACTTTATTTAGGTGGACCTTACGTTCACCATCTTGAACTTCATATCTTACCTACTTTACTTTTAACGTGACAGCTTTATATCCCTCTCATCTAGGTTTTCAAACACCTTACAAGTGTTCTTTTTTTTTATTTGAAACTTCTCTCTCTCTCATACCTTGAGTTGTGTTTTCTCTTTTTAAGTCATATGTAAGCTACAGGCCTTATGAACAACAACACTCTCTATGTCTCTCTCTCTTAGTCTCCTTTCGTCAGGCTTTTTGTAAGTTTTTTTTTACTAATTCATATCGCTTAATGTCAATGGCCGAGGAATGGCTGCTTCTCAATCATCTAGGTTAATCCACAATGTTTGCACATTGGGGCTTTTACTTTATCTCCTCTCTGTCACGCCCCATTTCTTGAGTCTTGTTACTTCGACTCTGACTGTAAAGTTACGAGTAAGTGACTTCATTGTCTTGAAGAATAATCCATTTTTTTAGTAAAACTATGATATTTTATCTATTCTTAGGAATTTTGAATACTGTAAATTATTAAAAATAAATGTGATATTTCCGCTTTTAGTAAAATTGTGAGATTTTCCTTCTACTATTTTGAATATTTAGAAATCGTAAAATTCATGTGCAAATGACTTTCTCATTATTTGAAAAACTGATATTTCTGCACTGATTGTAGTATTGCCTATGAAATGATCATTTACGAATTGACAATTCCATAAATTGTGATAATTCTGTATTTAATTTTGGATTTCCATAA